TGCTATAATAATATACAGTTTTACCGAGATTTAAAAAAAATAAAAATTAAAAATCCGGATTTATTTATCTTATTAATCTTATTTATATTGAGTAACTGTAACTTATTTTTTATCGCTGGTGTACTTATGTATTCTTACGTAAAATTCGATGAGAATTTATCCGATTTTACTTCTTCAATTTTTCTTAGAATCTGTTGTCCCGACGCAAACGTGACAAACAGAAGAAGCATTCGCTTTTGACATGTGTCGAATTTGTGATACTCAAAAGAATACGTGACATGCATATGCGCGCGCGAGCGTGAGGATACAGCCGGAGTGCACGCGACGGAAAGTCGAACGTCACGGATTTTTCTCACTCGATCTCAATCTTCAAACGTCGTCGCATGTTTTGCATCCGGCAACCAAGACACAATCTCGGTCGCGCGCGCGGAGCCTGCTCTTGACAAAACAATAGTTTCGACCGGTAATCTCGGACTGTGTTTTAATCTGAAAGAACACCGGGTACGCCGCTGATTGCATTGCAGCAGTAATCTTAGTTTTTATCGCGTCTCGAGATTGGTGGAGGTGTCGGCTGGGGAGGGAAGGAAGGGAAGGGTTTGTTACATGCACCCCGCCGCTATGGATATCGGGGTCAGGCTGGTGCGACCTGCATTATACACGCCATCACGTATAATCTCGAGAAGAGTAAGAGCCCACGCGGACACGGTCGACAAGAAAAAAAATATACACCCGCGCAATATTCCGACCTGCTGTCATCGGTCGTTTGATATACCGACTGTGCACGGAACGTAAACAACGATCGCATTTACCGGGATTTCTTATGCACGATACTCATTCGTCATAGAAGTTTCGAAATACGCCGCAATATCGTTTCTCCATAAACATGGAAATAAAATTTCTTGCAATTTTTTCTTGCTATTTTTTGTCCTACATCCAGAGGTATTATTGTACTACATCCTGTAGTACAATAATACCTCTGTAAAATAATTTGAATATTAAAAAAGTGAAATATTAAAAAAATCATTACACATTAAAATCATTGCACATTATTAACAATCAATTATCTTATATTAAGCATGAAATCTATTTAATACGAACTATCACGTGTTTTTTCATTTAAATACGAGCCATCATCTTATACTAAAGTCGACATCGTTAAAAATATTCATTCATGTTTGTGAGCTCAGCACACAAATATCACGTCGATATTTAGCGAAATAAAAAATATTGGGAAAGAATATCGTTTGTGATAACAGAAGCCGTAAAAAAAACTTCGATATCAACTACTGAACTACGTCAATCGACTCGCTGTTTTAATTAAAATAGCCTGGGAAGGATAGTATGTATAACCGAATATTGCTAGATTGGAAAAAACCTGTATATTGCAAAACAGATCGTCGACGTGCCAAAGGCTCGTGACGGCGCTGTTACGCCTTTGCCGATCCAACAACATAGCGCTGTATATCTACCGGATCTCGTCACGGCTTCCTTCAATCTTCGAGGCAATATCAGGGCCTGTTCGTGTGCCTCTTGGTTAGCAAACTGCAGGTGTGCCGTGTTTATCACCATCCTCACCCTTCGTCGGCAATAATTAATTACCCTGGAAGACCTTTTAAGTCGTTGGCCGCGACGCGACGCAATTATCGCGAACAGCCTCATAATGACGCGAAATTTATGCATTGTAACAAACTTACGGTACAACGACGCCATTAAATCAAGCGTAATGCTCGGCGAAGCTTTTCTTCAGGTCTCTGCCGATAGGGGAAGGTCTACCGATTTTCGCAAAAGCTGCGCCGTATGTAGAACGAATCGATACGACGCTGCCACTTTCAATATTACTGTCACTTTTGGCTTGATGGATGTTCCCCACGCCAGCAAGTCAAAGTTTGTTATTTATTTCCAAAAGTTTTGCTACAGATCTTTTCCGTAATCTTTCAGTACAATTTTTAATTGCTCGGAGTTGAACGAAAAAACTTTAATTAAACAATCTGTTACTAAATATCAAATCATAAAAAAAACTCATTTCTAGCAGAAATGAATTTTTTTCATAATTTACTTCTCTACAGAAAAATAATATATAATTTATAAAGTAAGAAAATGTAGTTTACAGTTCTCTCGTAGCTTTTTTATCCTTCAAAGCAATCTTAGGGTAATTCCGGTGTATACGCCGCGCGAGGATTTATGCCGCAGAAGTCAGAAAAAATAGAAGAAGTGAAAGTAATTTTCACGCAACCACTCTCTGTTATATACCTTTATGTTATATTACTATTGTGTTATGGTTTCACTTTTTTACTGTTAATATTTATAAAATTATTGTAATTTAAATCGAATTTATCAATGTAATAAGTAGCGCAACCATAAGTTATAAGCTACATAAAATGATTATTGTAGAAAATATAAAAGGCTTCATGGTTATTTCGTGATACATAAGTGTAGAGGAATTGTAAAGGATAGAGCACAGCAAAGTACAAGTGCTTAGCTCTTTAGATTATTTGTATATTTTTTTAGTCATTCATTCCACCCGTGTATAACCCTGCACCCATATTTTTATACGACAAAAATGCAAGGGTTTAAAGAATTTTTTTTAATGTAAAAAATTAATATTTTGGATTCCTAATATTTTTTTTATAGTAGTAGTCTAAAGTTTTTACTGGTATAGTTTATTTACTTTAACCATAATTAATAATATTAATAAATTAAATTTTTAATAGGTGCGGCGTATACCTATACCAGAATTACTCTAATTCTAAATTGCGATTAGTTGTCCAATAACTGTGTTCGGTCTTCAAACTTACGAAGCACATTAGCAACAATGTCCGGAGTAATCGACGTCAGCATAAATTCTAGAATGCTGTGGATATTAGCGGAATAATAACATTAGGTCTTCGTCTATCAGTTACGAAACTACGGCAAACAGTTTGGGCGAAATCTGGGCCGGCTTTTTCTCGAAAATTGCACTGTTGGGAAACAGCAAATGAGAATCGATCGTTTCATCAAACTCACGCAACTCACGGTATGAAAAAGGAACGCCGCGACGGAGTCACTCGCGCATTGAAACCGATACGGTTTCGCGTCGCTCGCGAAAATAAAGCGCGCGGATTCGCAGTAATGAATCAATCAGATTACGTACAGTTTGCGAGCGCAAATTGAAGTGTGCACGATAGAAATCAAGGAACATAAATGCTCTGCTTATCAGCCGGAGCACATTGATATGTGGTTAATACTGCATTGAACAGCGTTGCATGATATAGCCATGTAAAATCCCCGAGATAAAAACGTGGTTTTAAACGGAACGCACACACACGTACACGCGAATGAAAACACATCGGGTCTTCGATGCGGAATTAATGGTTTCATAAGTAATGAATGAAAATTACGCTTAAAAGCACACCGATTCGCTCCCGGGGCTATCTGGAAAAATGTGAGAACATCGTATCGCGGATTCGAATGGTCGAATTAAATTCCGTGAGAGTTATCTGTGAATTGATTGCTCTTAGCTCAGTTTTATGACCATACACAATTTAGCAAAAAGTTAAATCATTTATATCATCTCACATTTCGAAATGCCGATTAATTGCATACAATTACGAATAGTATTTTGCGTAAATTAAACTGAATAATTAAAGCAATGAATTCAGAATAATTGGAAAGGCTATCTAGGTTGAAATTGGAGGAAAGCTGTTTCCTCGTCATTATTAATTAAAATAGTCTAATAATAGATTTGATCTATAAAACAGTTTTGTAATTTAAATTGAAGCAAAATAATTCTCTTCTGTAAAGCCTGTTTAGCTATTTAATATATCCTAATTACCTTCGTTGATCACATATTAATTAGATCTAATTAACACATCCAATTAATACAAAGACGTGAATTAAAATAGATAAAGTAGCCCATTTATGAATGTGTAGCATCATCAAGTATTTTAATTATTCACTTTATTTCATCTCCGGCACTGTAGTTTACTTTCTCGTGCCATGTCAATTGGAAAAGTAATCCAGTGAGAAAAATCGTGCCAGCAAGACAGACGTCCTATCTTTCGGGACGGTGCACACGCATTACTCGTCACTCTCTTGGACGGACTCATTCGCCTACCGTCTGGTTCTATTCGTTACTTTCGCGAATATTTTATTGCCACCATTTCTCGGCTTCACTGAAAGGCCGGGATACTCGTTAATTACATACAGCGCCATTATGCTACGCTTTCATTTGCATGATAATTCCATTCTACGAATGATTATTGGAAACGGAGCGAAACTGACAAGGGCATCTTTACCTCGTCATAAAAAATAAAAGCGAGATCACTCGTGAGTTACTGCAATTTTAATACACTTTGAGACCGCGTATACATTGCGCATCTCTCGTAGTCTCGTTGTTTTACTCATCAAAAAAGGTGTCTTAGATATAAAAAATTTATTTCATTGTTTTTAAAATAATTCAAAATACAGCGGCGCAAATTAAATATATATAAAATAAAGACTGTTATTTCGTAATTATATATGGTACACATAGTGGGTAGCGCAGCACGAAAAACCTAGAAAACACGGAGATCCCTATTGCAGCTGTAAATTGTTTATTAATTTCACCAATGTTGAATGCACAAACTTTAATTGATAAAGGATGGGTCATGTAACATTGCGCGAATTGGATCCATTAATAATCACGTGAAATAGCGAACAGATATGTGAACGCTGCTACAATTCGACGTGAAAGATTTAATTTCCGATACCATAGCGTGTACTCCTAGCGGCGGATATAATTTTATAACGACATTATTTGCAGCGTAATAATACCTCGTGCAATATTCCGCATGCTATTTCGTTTTAAAAAAAAAATCACCGCTAAAAGTACAAATGCACGTTTATTGAATCAGGACACGCAAGAGAAAACTATTATATGTAACAGCACTTTCGATCTCAATGACACAAGATAACTGCGAACGAATGAATGTGGCGCATAACGCAGTAGTAATCAAGTCTATTGTGAAGACAGAGGTACTCACCGGTTTTCACAGTTGGAGACGCCGATGGTTGTGCGTACAAAGCGTGCGTGCCTCCCAGGAGCGCCAGGATGACGCGAAAAAACTTCATACTGACCATCGTGAATAGGGGATCTATTCCATGGGAATCCTGAAATGCACAGAAGCAACGATTTTCTTTACTTTCACGTGAGCGATAATTGCATCTGATTGATATAAACTGTATCATCGATTCGAAAAAACCGTATCATTTTAATTAAAAGGACAAAGACAAATAGAGAAGAGAGCAATGAAGTAAATAGGCAATTCATTTATCTTTTATAATTAATTTTGCTAGAAATATGATTATATATCTAATATTTATATTATATAAAATACGAGAATATTGTAACACAATGTTCCATCAATAAACATATTTACAATTTATTTAATTTTCCATTATAATATTTAGTTATAATAAAGTTATGAACAAATTTTGAACAAATGATCTCGTTTCAGTCCCTCAAATCATCTATATTCTTGTAAAAATATAAACACATTTTTAGAATATATCTTTGTATAGCTCCCTATAAGTAAAGATAGATAGACAACCATGAAAACTTGTTCATCCGTAGCTTTTTGTCCCGGCGCAATCCATTCGAGATAGATCGACTTTGTCGTAATGTTCCGCATCAAGCGAAAACACCGTCGCGCATCGCGTCTCGCCTCCTCGTTTTCCCACGCGATATCGCAGCGAGAAGAGAGACAAAAAAAAAGGAGTGAAACAACGATAGCGTCGTCTCACCGCGAAATGAGATTCTGATACCGCAATTCGATCGCCGCGTGTCTTCGCCGCGGGAGCGCGTAATAAGGGCATGGTAAACGAAAGCGGGCGCGGAATGCGGATGTTGATTTATCGGAAATTAATACGCCGACGAGAAGCTGGTGAGAGAAATACCTTGGCGTCGTTAACGGCCGCGCGCGCAGAAACGGCGGGGGAGGGGGAAGGGGGGGAATTTAGGAAGAGAATTTAAAATAGATTTGCCCGGGCGAAAAAATACTCGTCGTCATCTGTTCTCCTGCGGGGGCTTATCGCGGCTAAAGATAACGATGAGCCCCGGGGTGGGCTCTGCGAGCGACTAAGGCACATTGATGGTCGCCGTTAAGAGGATGGAGGAAGAAACCCGTGGCTGGTGGCTAGATGGATCCCCCTCGTTGGCCCGACGACGGGGATGGGGGAAGATACCGGGCATTGTATGTCCCGCCAACCACCGGCACGGCGCACGGCCGCCGCGCCGTACCGGTCTCGACTCTCGGATTCGCGCGAGCTGATCCACAGAATAGCTAGATCGTAGATAAGTAGCGATCTTGCCTCTCTCGGTTCACGAACGTCGGCCCGGCCGATCCGGCTTAAAGCGACAGAAGTCGAGTGGGCGCGACTTCGAGCGTGAATTCATGTTGGGAGAACGTGGTTTTGCGTGTCGGTATGTGCTAGAAAACGGGCCAAGCGATCGCTTTGAGGATGCTCTCCAAATGGATTTGGCGACTAAACACTTTCAAAGAGAATGACTTCCAGCTCGACGTTAAACATTACGGAAAACACGAAGGAGAATTGAATATTTGCCTCAAACGGTTTGAATACTAGAAATAGAATTTGTTATGTACAATACCTATTTACACGTACAATAATGCCATGTCTTTGAACAATAAAATCTTATTTTAGAGGAAGAAAGAGAGATTTAATCATATTCCATGTATTTCCGTGTACTACCGGCCCAATCAAAATTAAAATTGAAATTAATATAAGAAGAGTCATTTGCTATTTCAACGTTTGAAATATAACGGAATAATTGCATGCATATTTGGTAATATAATAACATTTCAAACATTTCAAAACTACGAATTTTACTATTGTATATATTATTCTTCAAGTTGTGAAAATATCAAGAGACATACGTTACAAGAGATATACGCATCTCCTGCACGTGATTAAATTTTTTCAGATGAGAGCGTAACGTTTAATTCGCTAGAAATGCGTATTAAAGAGACGCAGTCATATATTCGCGATTTAATTCATTGATCAATTACTCGATATTCTCCATTTAGCGGAAACGACTCATCATGCAGACGAGATGCTGCATTCAAATTTTATTACTTACTTTAATAGGAACTACTCTTAATGGCTACATATGCCGCGATACCCCGTACGTGGAAGTCAATAAATTACCGTCCCTCTATTTCGCCTTCTCCTCCTCCCCCGTAGATCGCGGACCGTCTAAATCTACCGACCGCTCGGCCGTATCAGGAACTCATTCCGCAGAGAGACGATTTCCACTCTTCCGGCGCGCGAGCCCCGAGGAAAAAATGACGTAGACGAAGCACCCGGTGGAACTTCGTAAAATACGAGTTGCAACCGGCACCGCGATGCACTTCATGCATCGCTGTGGGCGTCTGCATTCGTGACGGATCTACCCGACGAGCGATCCGGGCGGGGGAGTTTCACACACGGCCGACGAACGCGTGTCGGCGATTTATCGCGTTTATATACATGTTACCCGGCTTGTATCGTGTGTGCTCGCGTCGTCGTAGGAAAGCGTACACCTGCAGTAAATAGAGGGAATGCACGGAATCACCTCGAGCGCTACCACTCACTCACCATCGAGTCGAATGTGATGAAACCCTCCGGTCGCGTAGATATGACGGAGACCTTTATGCTGTACATATTCGGTCCGAGCTCTGTGTTACGTGTGATTACGTTGACAATTTATCTACAGCTACTTTTATATTTTAAGCTTTTATAAAATTGCGTCTAATAAATTGCAAATAATAAAAATATAATCAAGTACAAAGCATGAAGAAAAGCTCCAATATATGTGACGTATAAAATCTATATAAAGTTACGCAAAAAATCTGTTTTTATTTGAACTAAAAAAAACTATACAGAAATAGATAACGGTTCTAGTAGATCCAGCAGAGATTGTTAGATTATTTTTTTTGAAGACGTACGAGTGATTTATTTTTAAATTGGGATGAGCGATGTAGCTTCAACGTGTATAATATATCTTTCGCCATATCTGTACGTTCCTTCGATTTTTCCTTATTATCGTCCTTAATTATAACAGATGTACGGTTGTAAGGGATAGAGATCGATCGCTCGATGAAAGATTTGTAAGTAATGGATATAACCGGGCTTCATTTATGTACCGGCTTCGGAGGAAAATCGACTAGCAATGAAGTCGACCCAGGACTATAAATCAGCAAAATGGGCAAAAAATTATGCGGTAAAGTACTCTCGTTTTACTTTAGACGGGAGATCGCTTCTCTGAACGGAAAAATTTGCATTTCCTCGCTGCTTACCTCGCAAAAGTGGAAACATTTCAACCCTGTGTGCCCGCAGAGAAAAGTATCTTCTTATTAAAAAGTCACTATATTATTTATTTATGCTGATGCATAAATAATAGCTGATTTCCAGGATTATGTAAAACATTGACTACATAAAAATTATAATATAGTATAAATATACATATACGTTCATTTTTTAAATAACATTTTTTTCAATTTTGTCTTATTAAAATTACGTTTACTATTTCTTCTTTATTTTTGATATTTTTGGAAGATTTCTGAGATTTGGCAATATTCGGAATCATAAAATATAACAATTTTAATTTTTGGCATTCGTGCGTGGAATACGTAACGAGGTAAACGTAAACTGAATTTCAGGCAACATTTAACACAATCTTTGTGTTCTAGCTTATTTAATTCGGCCGAAATTCTATGTAGTCGCGCCAGTAGTGTGGCAGGCAGATCCAACTTTTGCCAAGTAGTACATTATCGGTTTATATCGAGGAGAGCTTCCGGCGGTACCGGAAGTTCCAAGACTTTATCAGTGCTTTAGAAATAAACTTCTTTCGTTTCGTGCGGATTACGCTTATCGATCATCTTCATTTATAAGTTATCTCAATCTCTAGTGAGTAACATGAATATACGAAAATGTGAAATCGAGAAACAGATTCACTATTTTTCTTATAAACAATCAAACTTTAAATTTAATATTTTCAAACGTGCTTTTCAAGCTTTTACGATCTCGCTTTCTTTGCAAAATTTAAAAAAAACGAAATTGCATATACACGGAGAGAATTTTATTTTAAAATTTACCCTGAAAATCATGTTAATCGTAGGACAACATAGTATTTCGATGAATTTTATATGATTTTCACTATTTTTTTAAATATGTACTACAACAAATTTATTATAGTGCACAGTAAAATTTGTCGAAATACTATGTTGTCCCACGATTAACAAAATTTTCAAGGTAAATTTTAAAAGAAAATTCTCTCCGTGTAAAAATTGAAATAATTATTAGAAAAATTTAATTCGGAAATAATTTCAGATCGAAATATAATTGAAAATATTGAAAAAATTTAATATTGTATTAATATAAAGAAAATGATCTTATTGTTATAAAGGCTGTCTATTTGCTGCAAAGTTTTACTTTACAGTCTAGATTGCGATACGGATAAACTCCTAATACTAACCAAGTTAGGAACAGGCCTTTGGGATTAGGATCAGACTGGTTTAAGATAGAGTCGGATTGTGGATTAAGATAAGGCCAAAATTATACCAACAATTCCACTCGTGCGACTATAACTGTACTGTGAGAATAAAAAGAGAAACAGATCAGATTGGTATAAGGAAATTTGATTAGTGTACTTGTTAATTAACTCAGTCCGCGCGTGTCCAATAGGTGCGAATCATGTTCTGCGCTAAAGGCATTAAAACGCGTGACCGAATCGGTATCAACGCCGGCCCGCGTGTCCGTCCCTCGTCCTAAACAATATTCACTTTCCACTCTGTTTAACTCGCGCGAAATCACCGGCCGGTCACTTTTTCGGTCGCGCTGACACCCTCCCGACGCAAACGAGCCGTGTGAACATAACGCACTCTCGGGGCCGCGGCAGTGCAACGGCATCAGAATTGCGGTCGACGTGGACGCAGTAGATACGGTGTATGTACGCGCGGCGCGAATTCGCGCAGCCGTGAATAAGGAATGCCGCGATCCTTCGGAGTATGCATTTTTGTAAAATATTCCGTGCGCGCTGCCGTAACCGCGGCTCAGAAACCGTAACCGTTTCTCCCCTCCCTCCACAGTATTATGGCGTTCGCGACTTGCCA